GGGGGGACACCGGGAATGGGAGGACACCGGGAATGGGGAGACACCGGGAATGGGGGGGACACCGGGAATGGGGGAACACCGGGAATGGGGGGCACTTGTGTCCCTCTCCCCTCCCCAGGAGGATCCATCCATCCCTGATCCTTTTATTAGGCTGGAAAACTGGGAAAGATGGGAGGGGTGGGATCTTTTCCTTGAGCTGTCCCAGGCGTGATTTTTGCACCCTCATCCACCCTTCTAAAATTGCTGCCAGCATCCTAAAAAATCCTCTATCCCTCTTTTCCACGAAGGAATTAAATAAATGGCATCAGCACTTCCCAACGCAGTAAATCCCAGAAATTCTGTCAGATCCCATTTATCCTCTGAAAAGATCCTAAACCCAGAACAGACCTGGGATTATTTGCATTCCAGGGATTATTCCAAGAGCTAATCGGCTCGGGAGCGGAGCATGGGGAAGATTGGGAACAAACAGGATTGGGAACTGGAATTCTGTTGTAATCCAGCAGGGATATCCATCATTCAGTAGGGATATCCACAATCCTTCCCAAAATTGCCCTCAAAGCTCTGAGGTGCTGGGAGAAGCTGCAATCTGAGCAATAATTCCCTCCAAATCCTGCTTTTCTTGTACATTCCGGGTTTTCCAAAATGGGAGTGATTCTCTTCTGTAGGAATGGGGAGGTGCTTTAAAAGTCCACCTGGAGTGTGGGATTCCCTGTGGAAATCCAGGAATTCTGCCCACACCTGCCAGGTTCATCCTGAAGTTCTGCCAGCTGGAAAAAGCACCTTTCCCAAGCCAGAGAATTCCACAAATCTCATCAAGATCCACATCTCCTGCAGGAGAGCCAAACTTCCCTTCCCTTCCTCCTTTATTCCCCTTTCTTTTCCCTTTTCCCCAACAGGAAATGCCAGACCTGGGCGGTGCCGGGAAATTGCCGGATTTTGCCTTTCCATGCCAGCAAATTGCTGGGCTTGGGCCGTGCTGGCACCAAGAAATTTCTGGATCTGGGCTCTGGCGGTGGCAGCAAACACCAGATTTCAGGCTCCAGGTGCTGCTAAGCATCGGATTTGAACCCCTCCTTTCCTTCCTGGAACGAGGTGCCCTCACCCTCCCGAAATCCCCGGCATTTCCCCTCAGCCCTCCGCAGCTCGCGGCCTTCATTCACCGCGGCCTTCCCAATTCAACTGCAACCGCCTTCCCGTTACCACGGCAACGAGCGGCGTGGGGGCAGGCACAGACAGCTCATTCACCAATCAGCGGCGCGCTCTGTGCGAATCATCTCTCTGATTGGTCTGTGCTGCTGTCCATCAAGAAGCGGGCCCGCCCTGTCGTTGGTTGCCGCGGTGAGGCGAGGACGCTCGGGCGGGAGCGGCGAGCGGCGGAGGCTCCGCCATGGCGCAGCCCGACGAGCCGCACCCGCCGGTCGTTCCCTCCTGCCCGCTGCCCAGCAAGACCTGCGATGTGGTCCCCACCGAGAGGCCGCGCTCCTGCTGCGGCATGGCATTGGCCGGCCTGCGCACCGCCAAATACCATCTGCCCGAGTGGCACCGCCGCAACGCGGGCGTCTGCTTCGAGGCGTACACGACGGGCGAGCAGGCGGAGCGCGGCCGCGGCGAGGCCAAGCACCTGATGAAGCATGCGGCCGCCAGCGCGCAGCGAGCCCAGGGCTACTCCAAGGCCACGCTGGGCCAGCGGCTGCAGGACCTCCAGTTCTGGAGGGTGGAGCTGCAGAAGGAGATCATGGAGCTGGACGCCGAGACCAACCTGCTGGTGGCTCAGAAGCTGCGGTTGGAGCGGGCGCTCGATGCCACCGAGGTGCCCTACTCGGTTGTCATCGATAACCTGGAGTGCCGGGAGCGGCGGCAGCCCCCGGACCTGGTGATCGATGAGGTGGAGAAGCAGCTGATGAAGGTGAGCGGCGCCTGGGCTTGGTGACAGCCCCGGCGCTGCTGCTCTGGTGGTAATAGGGGCAATAATTCGAATAATCTCGCAATAAGGGGCAATAATTCTAATAATCTCGCATGGTTTAACCTCTTCAGTACTATTCTGCTTAACCAACACCAACTACGAGCAAACTCACAGCCAAATCCTCCTACTTACACGAGGCCTTCAGCCCCTTCTACCACTCATAGCCACCTGATGGCTCCTAGCTAACCTAACAAACAACAAACCTCATCGCAGAACTAACGATTGTAATCACACTTTTCAACTGACCCACCTTCACAATTATCTAACAGGAGCCACAATCCTACTTACTGCCTCATACACCCTATAATGCTCATAATGACACAACCAGGCGCTCTCCCATCCCACATTACATCAAAACTCCACACGAGAACATCTTCTCACAGCCCTACATATAATCCCCATAATGCTCCTAATCCTCAAACCTGAACTAATCTCTGGTATCCCCACATGCAAGTATAGTTTCAACCAAAACATTAGACCGTGGCTCTAAAAAGAGAAGTTAAACCCTTCTTCCAGCGCTGGAATGAGGAGCAGCAGTGAGGAGGTGAAGCTGAGGATGCTGGAGGTGTCTCCTGTGAGTCAGGGTCTGGTCACTCCAAGGAATTTTTCGAGTCCTTGCTGTGATTAAATCACTTTGGGAAGTGATTAAATCACTTTGGGAAGTGTGGCTGGACAAGAGCAGATCACTCCCTCAGCCCAGACCCCAACAAAACCAACCCAGAGTTTTCCTGCACCAACACGAAAATCCTATTCTGGCATAAATTCCTTCTCTACCCGCCTTGAAATCCCCTCCTTTCTGCAGGTTAAACTTTAAAACTCCACAATCCAGAAGTTCAGGAACACTGGGATATTCCTTGGCTGTTCCCATGGTCAAATTGACCAAATTTTGGCAGTTTCTGTCATTAATTCTCCCCGAGTTTTGCCAAGGTGATGATCCAACCCTGTCACCGAGATTCCTGTCAAATTCCAGTGTCATTCTTGTGCTGGATGTTACAAAAAACACATTTTCCATCCTGGAATTACACCTATTCCAATATCCCAGAAATTAATTAATGATTATTCACCTGCAGCCTCCAATCAGAATCAGTTACCAGAGGATTAATATTCAAAAAATAAGGATCAGACTGAAATGTGTAAAGCTGGTGGGGTTTTGGGGATTATCCTGGGTAGAACCAGGAATTTCTTAATCCCTGTGGATCCTTCCCAACTCAGGATATTCTAGGATTCCACATAGAAGGCATGATAGGATTTAGGAATGTTTTGAATGGGAATTGGGTGTAATTTCTGATTTATAATCAGAAATTTTCCAGTCAAAAATATAAACAGGGAAGAGTAGATGTAGGATATTTCCATGTGGGAATTGTTACAATTTTTAGGTTGGAAAAGACTTTGAAGCTCATCAAGTCCATGATTCCAGGCATGGGGAAATTCCCTGATTTTTCCCTATCTCAAAACTGAGCAGGGAATTCATTTATTCCATTTAATCTGATGGGATCATGGAATCCTGGAATGGTTTGGGATGGATGGAACCTTAAAAATAATAAATTCCCACCTCTTTCCACTATTCCCACCCTTTCCCACTATCCCAGGTTGCTCCAAGCCCCTTCCAGCCTGACCTTGGACATTCCAGGGATGGAGCAGCCACAGCTTCTCTGGGAATCTGTGCCAGGGAAGAATTCCTTCCATGACAGGATAACACTCAGACTTTTTCATGGAATCCACAAAATTTTGAAGTATTCCAGTTTTTTCAGCCTCCATAGGTTTAGGGCTGAGTTCCCTCAGGATCTGGTAACTCCAAAATTCCAAGTTTTACCCTAACAAAGTGAGGGTAGATAAGGAAATGTAAGGATTTATTCCCCCAAGTTGCTCCTCAGGATGGTGTTTCCTGCTCTGGATCCATGGAATTCTCCCTGTTTTTCTTTAGGAAGCTGATCTGATCCGGGATATCCGGGATCTTCTGAAAAGAACCATCATCCAAGCTGCCACCCAGATAAGGTAAAGCATTTCCCAGGATTCTTCAGCCAAATAATTCCTGGGATGAAGGTGGACACAGAGCTCAGCCAGGCCAGGCTTAGGAGCTGAGGGAATTCCATGAAAACCCGGATTTTCAGGTAGATTTAGATTTTCCTGCTTTCCACAACGGTGTTGGATTTGTTTTCCAACACTAAATTCCAGTGCTATATAAATATTCTCTGGATATCTTCTTGGAGAAGATCTTTGTATTATTAAAGGGATTTTTGGTATCAAAGGAATTTTTTTTGCCACCAGAGGTCAGTGTGAACTTTAAATCTGGAATTTCTGTGCCAGGCCAGGTGTTCCTTGCCATTCCAAAGGATTATTTCCTTGGAATTTCTAACAAACCCTTTGGAAAGATGTTATTGTGCCCTCAAGTCCATCAATATAAAGGAATCATGCTGGAAGCTTCATATTTTAGTTAAAAAAATCCTTCAGTCTGCTCCTGTTCTACCTGATAAAAGAAATATTAGTTTTAAAAAATGGCTGTAAGTGCCAATTAATATAAAGTTGCTCTGTTATATTAATTAGAGCATGAGAGGAGCCTAATGAGGTTAATTTGGGGGTTTTAATTGCTTTAAGATCATTTTAGCCCAGTTTTATCTCCATTTAGTCCAAGTTTAGTCCCATTTTATGCCCCTTTTCCAAGAGAATTCCCAATTCCTTGGCTGAGAGTGACACCTGCTGTTATCAGCTGATAACAACCCACAGGCTTTTATAATTAGAATCATTGTAATTATAATTAACTGAGCAATGTGTGACTCTAATTAACAACAAAGCAGCAATTTTAATCTGAATATCATTAAAGATTATCTAGTTCCATGGACAGGGACCTTCCACAATCCCAGGGTGCTCCAGCCTGGCCTTGGACACTCCAAGGATCCAGAGGCAGCCACAGCTTCTCTGGGAATTTTATTCCAGGGCCTCCCCCCCATCACACTGGAATTTTTTCCCAAAATCCCATCTCAATCAGGCTTCTCTTTCTGCCACCCTCACAC